ATTCACTTTGCAGAACAAACATTACCCTTACAAATACTACCACGTAGTTCGTTGGTAGGCCAGTTTTTCAAATTATTTATTATTGTTGTAGAGAAAGTAGTGACCGACGAAGACAAGGAGAGTGATGGTACATTACGAATAATGGTATACGATGAAGATGGCCAAGTTATACCTTATGAGTTATACGGTTAGATGTTATCCGTCTAAATAATAACTAGTTATTGTAGTGTAGAATGTTTAAGTATATAACCGACGTAATTAGGTATATATTAGGATTCAAAAGTGGCAGTTATGGTACAACTGTAGCTGAAAATAAAATTTCATCTTTGCAACAACGAATGTAATGACGAAATAGTAAGTGCTTTTAGATCCCAGAATTTTGTACAACTTGAGCTGAGTTAGTATTCTCTCTCCTGCGGTAGGCCTGTAGCGTTGAGGCATCCTGTTGTCTATTACCTATTCCAACATATTTGCATTACTGTTCTGTGACGTCATTGTAAATTTAACACAACAAGCCCATCTTATCGTTGTAGAAATAGTAAAATAGATTTCTGCAGTCTCCACCAAAACGTCGTTACCACTTAGAACCAAGTCCGAACTCGTGGTACCACGATTTCGTTTAACTAAGGTACACGATTCCTTTATGGGGAACTGTATACGTTTTTACAATAATATCATTTCCTAAGTTTACTTACTTACATTAAATATATTTTATTTGAAAAGTATATGGAAAGACAACATGAGTCTAGATTCCACACAATTATGATTCAAAGTGTATTCCATAGCATTTAAGTTTATTTGAAAAGCGCAATTCCTAGAGTTTCTTGCTCGTTCTTCTCAGGGAGGTCAGCGTAGGAAACAAGCTGTAGCTTAAAAAATGACGTTTTCAAGTGTAAAAAATTTACCTATGGAATCAATGATTATCTCACTTTGACTGTCACATTAGCAGATGAGGTAAATCTTAGTTTTTTTGATAAAGATAAATAAATAAAATTATATATAATAGGTGAGCCAAAAATTAAAGAAGCGGTGACGACATCAGATGAAAATGCAGAGGCTGAAGACGAAGAAAATAAACCTCTGTCGGTTTCTCAATCGCAGATGATCGAGGAGTTTGTTGCTTCTGTAAGGGATTTTGTCAATGTTAATAATAATAAGGCGAATAATGTTAGCCTCCTTTTTAATTTTTTTTATTGTTGATACGAAGACGGAACAACACAAAAACATTCCATCGATCTGATTAGAATCAGCGGCAGCAGATCTTATGAATTTCTCTATGAAAGCAAAAAAGCCACGAAGATCGGCAACAAGTATAATATAGAGAAATTCGTTATAATCTGTCTTTTTTGAAGACAGAGTTAAATGACATTGTAGGGTTCCCAGTTTTCACAAAATTTTAAATAGTTCTGTAGCTGTTGTCGATAGTTTTATCGATAGATTGTGAAAGAAGATAAAATTTCGCCAAAAATATTACGACGTTCTAATGATTACCAATTGCGTTATTGCCTTCTTTATTTTGACAGTTGGCCTACTAGTATCGAGATCAATTTTCATTCATATACATTTTGACATGAATAGCCGGATTTGATTATTTATATTGAATTAAGATGAAAAACTTTAAAATATTTCTCCTCTGTATGTTTCATAAACATAGTTCTAAATACAGTGTGTGTATGTATGAACTTATAAAAATTGACAATTCAAATGAACTTGTGCTCAGTAATTGGATGAATAATGGGTCGAGGACTAAAATAAGATCGGCTCATTTTATTCCATAAGCGTGACAAATATTCAGTCGATAGTCGATAGAATATTTATAACCTGCAATCACTAGCTGCTCGCAATGAACTATCGTTTTAATCCGTCTTCAAAAAAGACTAGGTGTGTTGTTTCGGTTAATACCTCAGTTAGTAAGAGCGATAGATCAATCAGATCGAAGAATTTTTACGCGCGTAAACGCGATAGAGAGCGCCCGAGGAGCGCGGTCGAAGCGTTTGTATCGCGTTTTACGCGCATATGAATCGATTCAAACGCGCACAATCGCGTTGCATGCTAGAAACTTGTATACTCCATTGGATTTTACACTTAAAAGTTCATGCAGTCGCTTCATTTAAAAAACTAACTGAAATTAAGAAACAAAACTTAAATTAAAGCTATCTCTTACCAAAATGCACAATACATACGCGTGACTCTTAGGGCGCGTTCCCACTATGTCACCACGTTTTATTATCGGTGGACGACTGTCGTGTCTAGACCGTTCCCATATAACGACTCTGTCGTGGACGATTTTTTATCGTTGAACGACTGTCGTGACCAGCTGTTCCCATTAGATCGTGACGACAATTTATCGTTTCACCACAGCCTCCTTGTCGTTTGCACGACAGAATCGTTTGATGCACTGCAGTCGCTTGTATGTTCTTTTGGAAGCCGGTAGTGTGTGTTCGCTCGAAAGGGATGAAGACGAAATTTTAATAATGTATTACTTTTTTAAAATGCGGAAAAGTGTTGGGTACATCCAATGCTACTAAAAAGAATTCCATTAGGGTTATGTCAAACGGTATACGAAGTTGCTTTCTACAACCTGCTACGACCAGAGATGGGCAGTGGGTTAAAACCCAATCAACCCGCCCGTGTTTTCACCAGGGTTTTACCCGAAGCGCCGATTTTTAACCCATTTCTGCCCAAAATCGTGGGCAGAAACGAAGAGTACAGAATTTGGTATAATTCCAACACTAACAATATAATGTACAATAACTTGTAACAAATTTCTATATTTTTATTATACGAAGAAAAGGCATCTCCACATAATACCCACCACCTGTCAATCCTGTGGATTCTCAATGAAGATCGATTCAAGTGCATACGATCTAACGATTTTTTGTATCAATTTATTGTTGAACTTTTCAAGCGAATCTATTCAATAGAAAGGTAAATCGAACTATCCTGATAAGCTGCATTACTCCACGAAGTCTGAGGAGATAGTGGAGTATATCAGGCATAAAACCAAATACACCCTGAGAGTCGAGCGGTTGGAGTCTCGCCGCAACGTGAATTTCAATTCGTTTGTGGTGAGAATACCGACCGAACATCTTTCGACCTTCATGAAAGAGGAATTTTGGCCGAAGGGTGTCATATATCGGCGATTCCGCGGCCGGTTACCTGACACCAGATTGCGCCACACGTCGCCGATAAGGGAAATCGTGTAGATTAGTTTTTATTATTATATTGTATGTATGTTTGTTTTAAGGTATATATAATATAGGTGAATTTTGTTTTTATATTGTTATGTATGTTAGTCTATAAGGTATGTATACATGGGTCTTTGTTACCTGATATAAATAAATAAATAAATAAATAAAAAAAATAAAGCAACAAACATTTTGTAATAATATGTATAATTAAATTTGAACAAAACTCAATTCACAACAAATATTTAGACGTAAATAGCTTTTGCCTTCGATTTCAGTGTTTAACCAGATTTAAACCAACAAACAAAGCGTCGGGTTAAAATTCGGGCGCTTGCCCATCTCTGGCTACGACCCAACGCTATTGCAAAGCGAGCAGAGGGCGCGGGGTATGAGAGGGGAGGGCAAGCAGCAGAATACGTGCGGACAGCGATAAATAAAACGTGACGACAATAGCTGCTGCGACAATCTGTCGTCACGTTTTTATCGTGACTTTTTTATCGTTCGACGACTGTCGTTCTAGCTGTTCCCACTGTGACGACATTTTGTCGTTGTAACGAAAGAAAATCGTGAACGACAGTTAATCGTGTCGTGCTATATGTGAACAACTTCATTTAAATATACGAGCCACGACACTGTAAACTGCACGACAATCTGTCGTCACGACATAGTGGGAACGCGCCCTTAGTGTTGTTAATCTTTAATCTATAGTAACAAGGCTGAGTGAAGAAAATCTTCTGTAGATTTCTAATAGATGGTGCTATGGCAAAAAAGTCGTTAAAAAACAAAGAACTGCAACAATGACATACAAATATTCGTAAAGTCCGCTAGTTCGTTCCGTGGCAGCCGCATCGAAGGAAATTTTTCTTAGTGTTCCATGTTTGTATTAATAATTAAATTAATAACAAATTTAATACTAATTGAGAGCCAACTCAATTATAGGCACTTATAGACCACAGTCGGCGACGTGCTGTTAAGGACATGCCACTCTGAGCTTTAAATCACCAAGATCTGAAGAAACATAAGTTGACAAGTCACACGTGCCTATGATTTCACGCCTTTTAGGGCGCGTTCCCATTATGTCGTAACGACGGATAGTCGTGCAGTTTAAAGTGTCGTGTCTTGTATATTGACATAAAGTTATTCACACATAGAACAACACAGTCACACTGTAGTTCACGACTTTTTTGACGTTACGACGACAGACTGTCGTGACTATGGGAAGAGCTAGAACGACAGTCATCTGACGATAAATAAAAGGTCACGGTAAGAACGTGACGACAGATAATCGCAGCTTCAAACGCTTCGGTCGTGCAAACGACTAGGCCGCTGCCGTGCACCGATACATTGTAATCACGATCTACTGGGAACAGCCAGACACGACAGTCGTTCGACGATAAAATAAACGTCCATGACACAGTCACGACAGATAGTCGTGATATGAAACATAAGCGGAACTCGCCATTACACTCCAAAACCGGAACGCAGTAATCACATTACTACTTAGTGGCAGAAATACGTAAGATGCTGGTACTTCCCTGGACAAAGTCTTTCACAAGAAGCTCTACTACTGCTACTACATTAATGATTATTATAGTCTCGAATAATAATCGTGATGATTATTATAGCGGCGGTGACCAATTTGCATCAGTTTGACCATCTGATTCTACCGGCTCGACCTTGCCTTATATACGTTTAAATTTTTATTATTTTTCATTTATAATCAGGTTACGAAGACCCATAAATACATGCTTTACAGACTAACATACATAATAATATTAATAAAACGCTATTTATTTATTTACACGTATGGACTGTGACGTGTGACGCAACGTGGGTGTCCGGTAACCGACCTCGGAAACGTCGGTACATGACACCTTTCGGTTAAAAGTCTTCCTTCATGAAGATCGACAGATTTAATTTCCCCCAAATCTTATGTCACTATGTCGCCTCCATCGAGTATATAACCAGAAATAGAGACGAAATAAGGGCCATCCATCACTGGCAACTCATCAGGCAAATGGGCCTTATATCACTTTTAAATATCAACTCTCGTTTGCGCTGAAATCACAAATTTGAAAGCTGAAATAGTACAATAACAGACCTGTGTACGTCTCCGTATATTCCAAAAATATTCTATGTTGCTAGGCTATGTTGAGTGTGTGCGTTATTATTATTATTATTATTGTAACATATACAAAATATTTTACTTTATAGACTATTTACATAGACTATTTTACTCGTTATAGACTCGATGGTACCCTCCTATCCTATCAACTATCCTCACGCATCCTCATCTTTCCTCAGTCCTACGCAGAAAGGAATAATCGTCGCAACGATTTGCAAACTACCTTTAATGAAATAAAAACGCTGGTGGAGAAGTTCAGGAATGCTCAATATGATTTGGGTTAGATATTTCTTTATTTGTTATAGGCATGTTAGTGTAGCGGAGCTTATTTGGGGAATGCTTCTCTTCGGGACAAAAGGGACGCGTTAATTAAACTAGTAAATTAAGAAACTAGTTGCAGTATGTGAGAGCTTATGCTGAGACCCATGGTCTACGGTACAAGGCGACCAAGAGCGAGTTGCTCAAGGCGGGTAGCAATTTTTTTAAAATTGCTTTAATTATGTCCCAGAAGTTAAGCTGTGTGGCACTCTTCTGAATAGGGTCACTAAATTTAAACACCTCCGGGCACCGAGTCTTTGGAAGATATAGGGATGGGTAATATAACTTTTTCTGAATATCGTATCTAGACTATATATCGATATTCGAAATCGGATTTCCAAACTTTTTATTTTTTGAAACTATATATTCATGGATGCAGCCCGCGTGCGCGCTGCGTTCATACATTGCCGTTACTGATATTCGGAATCAGATTTCGAAACTATATATTATTGGATATAGTTTTACAAGAGCAATGCGGGCCAATGAAGTATACAGTTTCAAGACGCACAAAAAATGGTTTCGCGTTGACATCCACTCAGTGAATATCTGACACGAAGCTATATCGGTATATAGTTTGGAAAATATATGATTTCGTGTTGGTAACCACTCGGTATTCGCTCCACTTGATTCAGTATAGCTATAAAATACGCGATGCGGAGCAATATCGATATATAGTTTCTAAGATACACGATATCGGATATTCGATATTGCCACAATATATAGATTCAATATAGTAGTTATTAGTTTGTAGCAATAGGAACGCAAAACTATGCTGAAGAGTATAACACATTCAGGTATGGTGGCCGGCCGCCAAATGTCCACGACGAGCGGTGAATTCATCGTTCAATCCATCGAGAAAGAAATCATGGACTACATCGACAAGCAGATCGGCATTCTACCAGATCCTGACTTGAAGAAGAAAAAGGTAATCTGAAGGACATACCGAAAGATATATTATCTATTAAAAGTAACTCCATGTTTGTACCTTATGCATTACCTCGAATTGGCGCAACGCTGCACTACATTAAAACGAGCAATCCAAAATGACAAGGTCACATTTCTTAAAACAAAAAATGAAAAAGAAAATGCAGCAAGGGACCCCTGGAATTCATTGCAAAATGCAACATAATATGAAACATAAGGCTGCAAACAGATTGACTGCATGTTTGCAGTTAATGCGTGTAGTTGAATACGACTTCACGCATTAACTGCATGCAATCGATTTCGGCTGCAAAAAGTCGGTCGAAATCAACTTCATACGGCCGAGATAGATTGCATGCAGTTAATCTGTTAGCAGTCTAAGATCTGATATATAAAGTATGAGTTTCTTTGAAAGCAAAATAACAAAAGAGTAAATGTTTATGACTAGTTCATTATTTATAAAGACGTTAAGTCCACTTTTGTCCATCCCAGATTTTTACGTGACGGAAAGCGAATATTGCACACGTTCCCTCTACTTGACAGAATCGATAACTTGCATCATGTAAGAAATACAGATCGTAAACAAATAAATGCTAACAATTGTAAAAATTTAAAAACATTTTGTCTTCAAGGCGAAACCAGAAGAAGTAGCAATGATCAAAGAGCTATTGGAGGACTTTATCGACGAGAACATGGACATAATCGCGCGCGAAGTAGAGGAAGTGGAGGAGGAGGAGGAGCCTATACCAGAGGTAACAATCTCGTGGATTAGATTTCAGCATGTCTCTGTTTCAGCATGTATCTCTAGGGTTTTTGGACATCACGTGCTATGCAAAAGACTTAAAAATGCATTTTGTTCAATTTTTTAACGAAGGTTGAGTAAGGCTGTATGCACTAAGTCGACTTCGACTTCGACTTGATTGTACAGTCGATGACCTAAGGTACCTCAACCCTAACCGTCTGTTTGTATTCGAGTCGATGAGTATGAAGAAAGGTGATAAATGAAATTAACCTTTAAATTAATTAACCTTAAACTTATTACATCATTGGTGCTTAAGAAACTTTTTAGGCCAATTTGATCTTTAAAACTTAAATAAATACAAGTTTTAAAACAAAAAGCTGGAATTCCTTTAAACTACTAAAGACTCGTCTTAAACCTGTTCGAAAACTCGACTCGAACCGACTCGAGTCGTAAACCTATTCGAAAACTCGACTCGAACCGACTCGAGTCTTAAAACTGTTCGAAAACTCGACTCGAACCGACTCGAGATTTAAACCTGTTTGATAACTCGACAGGAAGCGACTTCTACTCTACAAAGTGTCGAGTATGACAAGCAGGGTTAAGTTTTATTACAACTACTATTGCACACGAATTACATAAAACACAAAAACCCAATATGGTGATTTCCAAAGAAAAGATGTTAATACTTAATTATACTACAGTTTTACACTAGTAGTAGTACCCATAAACAGACTCGAAGGCGACTCGTTACATAAAATAGACTCGAGTATTAACGGCGAACTCGAGTCTATTCGGAAACTCGCTAGGCTCGTAATACATCGAGCATTAAAGTCTTGTAAATTGGTGTCGAGTCCTAAAATGTAGACTTCCGGACTCGGACACTTTTACAACACGTCTGATATATGTAATTTTTATGATTTAGGCATTGACTTACAAATAAATGGACAACGGGTCTAATACAAAAACCACGAAAAAAATGTCCCAAGTCAACCTATTCGAAATTTAAATTGTTATGTCATCGCAGTATCGCGCTGTCCGTAGAACAAATGAAGACTAAAGCGGAGTGTCGCGCTCTGTATACGATTTTAGCGCCTTACAAGTGCGGACACTTTTTAGCGCGGACCCGACGTCCATATAATTGTAAGTCAATGGATTTAGGTGAAACAATTCTTACCTGTTTACAGATTGTAGTAGTCTACGCAGTTCCGGGCATTGGCCCACCGGTGGACGAAGACATAATCCGGGAGTTCGAAGAATACGCAATGGAGATTTGCAAGGTGCAAGCCGAGGTCTTTATGCCGAGGAACATAAGGCACTTTTTGTGCCCGCCTTTGGAGAAGTACGTAGTTCCTATCCATTTCTCAGGTTCTGGGGATTGTGGGACAGACACTATTTTTTCAGGTCTAAATTGCGTATTTTTTTCAAATAAACCAACGCTTCGGGCTCTTTACAAGTCCCATGGTTACAGCTGAGATGGTAAAGTCATTAATCAGTTATGTCTAATATTAATGTAAACCACCATATATAATATACATATAGACTTACTAACATCATTAAACAACAATTTTTGTTCCATTACTTTTTACATAATATCAAGTGACGGGACGAACAAGTCGTACGCCTGATGGTAAGCTACACGCCTGTCCATAACAGTTGCAGTGCCACTCAAAGGTTTAAATCGCAAAGATATGAGGGGCACTACCCCTGCGCCTTTCACCCTGAGACATAAGTTGACAAGTCTCATGTGTTCTCTGGACGAGCTCTTTCACACGAAGCTCCACCGCTACTAATCTGATACACTGCAGATAAGTCTGAAACACTACACATAAACTACAGATACATAGGTTCAGACAGTCGTTTCCGTAGTAAACATAATATTTGGCTCACATATTCAAAATTTGGCCGAAGTGGTCGCTTTTCGAGGAAACATCCCGGATGCAGAATTTAGATGGATCAATCCATTAGGGAACTACGGTATGATCAAAGTTCCTTAGAGAAATCTGTTGTGTAAAACGTTTGTTATAACTATAATATATTTTTAATTTCCCCAGGTACATTGAGCACGTGTACGAAGATGACATAACGGTTCCAAAAAAACGAGAAGAGATACCAACAGGTGGTGCACTAACAGATTAAATCTTGTCTTTAGCACGACCAGTCAGATTTAACTAGTCATTACGTTCGTATTTATACAGTTTACCGTTAATTTGTTTTAATTATCATTGTAATTTATTTTTTATACAATATTTAGTGTGTCCTGTTCTTTTGATTATGAATAAAACCTGCTACATATCTTCTTCACGGGAGTTATAATACTTTTTTTTATCACTTTCGTAAGAAGTAGTAATGTGCAACAAAACCAGGTGATATTTTAAAAATTCAATACGCTACCCAAAAAGCAGTGAAACTGTTTGATTTTATGTAAATACAGCTTTATTTAATGTCATTTTTATGAGGTAACAGTTTAGGAATATTCAATTAAAATTCCTTTGCAATTGTGATAATTGGTGTAAACAGTAAATTGTTAACTCCCATATACAACTGTATCAACTAAAGTTAATAGTACACGTATACCTACTACACGATATACATTTTGCAAACGGCTTTAATTTCGTTTGTAAAAAATTAAAGTCTGAAATTAAGCCAGTGTCCCTGCCGTTCCACCTAAGCAAAATTAACCATAGTAGTACGGGAAACATTTGAATTCGAACTGAGATAGTATCGATTCTTAATATATTTGCGGTGTTTCTTTGCATTTAAAGCTTAGTACATCGGCTAATATAGTAGCGTTTTTTATTTTATAGACTATTATGATTTTTTTTACTACCATATTATTGGTAATATGTTTTTTGCCAGTTTGTTGTTATTATTGTTATGAAGATTTCTGAGGGCGCGTTCCCACTATGTCGTCACGTTTTATTATCCTTGGACGACTGTCGTGTCTAGCCTGTTCCCATATCACGACTATATGTCGTGGACGATTTTTTATCGTTGAACGATTGTTGTGACTAGCTGTTCCCCCTAAATCGTGACGACAATTTATCGTTTCACGACAATCTCCTTGCCCATCTCTGGCTACGACCCAACGCTACTGCTAAGCGAGCAGAGGGCGCGGGGTACAAGAGGAGAGGGCAGGGAGCAGAATACGTGCGGACAGCGATAAATAAAACGTGACGACAATAGGAGCTGCGACAATCTGTCGTCACGGTCACGTTTTTATCGTGACGTCTTTTTATCGTTCGACGACAGTCGTTCTAGCTACTCCCACTGTAAACTGCACGATTATCTGTCGTCACGACATAGTGGGAACGCGCCCTTACAGGTGGCGCTACGACAAAAAATTCGTTAAAATCAATAACAAAAATCTGCAACAAGCACATAAGGCTTTTGCAAGGTTTGCTGACTCAGTTGCGACAGCGATAGCCCCAATATGGCGAGGTCGCTGGTTAGATTCCTGGGGGCCTACCACAACTTCCTAAAACAACATTACTTTAACCTTACATTGACTTTTCGCTTAAAATAAGCTTATTATAATGTTAAAACTATGATGTGACTTTAACATTAAAATAATTATTGTTCCTATGTCAAATTTAGCAATCTTAAAATAGTTACACAGATGCAGTGGAACCAATTTTATTTTCAGTTTTATTGTGTTAACATTGATTTGTAATGATTAAAAGTTAAGTTTGAACTTATTTATTAACACATATCTCTTCTATATTATGTTTATTTTTTTATTTAATAGACCATAGGAAATAATTTCTTGTTAAATAAAAATACGCGATGTTTATTTCGTAAAATTATGACAGCGACATCTATACGCTCCTTGGCGACTCTAACAGTTGAAACTAGACTACAGTTCCGAATTCACAACGTGAAAATCAAGACTCGGCTTGTTTTGTTTATTTTTCTTCATGAAAATGCGGAAAAATAATTGAAAACAACGTAACTTTAATAGATTTCATTACTAAGTACATACTTTTCTTTTTAGGCATTTAAATTTCGGTGAATGTTAATAATATAAGTACTTTAACATTATACTATGATACGACGATTGGGATCATCAAAAAAGAAAGAGATGGCATTGTACAGTTCATATAGCGTTATTTATTTCCTATTTTTAGTAAGGAATAGAAATATTGGGAAATCATTCGATCTTTCCATTGACTTACAATTATATGGACGTCGGGTCCGCGCTAAAAAGTGTCCGAACTTATAGGGCGTTAAAATCGTATACAGAGCGTCATTCACGCTTTAGTCTTCGTTTGTTCGATTGACAGCGAAGCAAGCAAAATTAGACAGTACTGTGATGACGTTACAATTTAAATTCAATGTTTTAGCTTTTTCGTATTCCTTTACATGTCACTACGTTTAAATAGGTTGACTTGGGACATTTTTTTCGTGGTTTTTGTATTAGACCCGTCGTCCATTTATTTGTAAGTCAATGGTTCTTTCAGTCACTTTTGCAATTTACTTGGTTGATTGGTTTGTCATGGTACGAATATGAGTAATATTATAATAAGCTTACATTAAAATAAGATTGTTTTTTGAAAGGTTATGGTAGACCCTCAGCCGGATGGAAGAAATTTTTCTTTGTGTTTGTTCAATCTGTACCAATAATAACAACAAAGTAGTGCATCGATTTTGCCTCAAACCGCTTGGCCAGAACTTATTTAAGGACCAGGATTTACTTTGAAGATCAGATCCCAGATTTTTCGACCCATCGATCCGATGGGGTAGCCCATTCGCATTATTATATGTACGCCTCGACTCGGAAAAGACGCAGTTTCCGATCGGGAGAGGCAATGAAAATCAAGCTGCTGAACAGTGGCGAATTTGCAGTCTTGGTTGCCCAAGGCCCCAGGCCATGTACATGTACTGGTAGACTACAGAATGAATTTCAGTGTCACAGTCTATTGGTGGAAACCGCATGAAAATCCGTTCAGTAGTTTTTGAGTTTATCGCGACCAGACAGACAGACGCGGTAGTGATAATATGTAGTGATGTAGTGACATTACCTATATTATAGATAATGTGACATATCTGTATTTTATATATAAAATGTACGAAAGTGATTTAGGAAGATTATTGCTATACAATGCGGTGCTGTGCGGCCCGCCATAATGTGCGTGAGCCTTTAGAATATTTAGTTATTTCTTGTGTATCATCCTTGAAATTTTTGTCACGATTAACCGCCCTAGGCCCGGGCCTACTGGGCTTTAGGGCAAATCCGCCACTGGATCTGAACACCGTATGTAATGTAATTAATATTTTTTTATTTATAATTCATAGTACAGGTACATCCTAGTTCCTCTGAGGTTGTTTTGAACAATTGAGAACAATACCCCGTTAAGTAAAAAAGGAATGAAGGAATTTGGGATTTATATACATTGTCAAAAATGAAACAGCCAAAACTTTACATTGTTTTTATTTTAATATATGGAATAAATAAATGAACCCCAGTGTTATGCCGTCCTATCACCTGACACGTTGACTATCTATCACTGTCTCGGTTTAGCTTCGCCCATGTCGTGTAGCTGCATCTCTTTTTTCACATCAATTTAGCACATAAAGTTTCAAAGGCACGGGGACGTTTTCCCACCCTACTTTGCTAGGGTCATCACCGCCGAGCTGGTAGCACACAGTTTTTTTTCTAACACGTAATCGTCTGTCCATTAAAAATCTCACAATCTCATTCTGACTCTTAAAAGTTTACTCCAATACCTCAAAATATTGTGAAATAATTCAAAGTTTATTCCCTTTGGAACTGCTCAACATCTCGAAAATACTTTGAAATAAAAGTTTCCTGCTTTTGTTTCTGCACAACATCTCGAAACTACTGTGAAATAATTAAGAGTTTACTCCCATTTGAACTGCTCAACATCTCTAATATATTGTGAAATAAATAAAGTTTATTCCTATTGGAACTGCTTAACACCTCGAAAATACTGTGTAATAATTAAAAGCTTACTTCCATTGTAACTGCTGTATTCCTCGAAAATATTGTAAATTTTTTCACTGGTCACTAATGAACATTTTGTCAAAATGTAACACTGCTCGCTAGTTTGAATAAAACAAAAATCACCTCATAACTTCAGGTCTCACCTTGGCATATTTTCTTATAATGTAGGTCCAAATATTTCACAATCAATTTAATAGGTATCGAGTTCTTAGGTTTTCGCGATTGTTACACATTGGAAACAGAACTATTGTATCGGATCTAAATTGCGTGTAGTTGTTATACAGTTCCCATGTTCACAGCTGACGGAAATTCAAGCGACCTGTAAAGGTTTGAAAAAAGATGGACGCGCGATCTAGATCCGAAAAGAATAGTTTAACTCAAAATTTAATAGATATGCATACCTACCTCTTGCCGATGTTTATGTATAATATTAAATCGATTTCAACAATATATCAAGTTATTTTGCAGTTACAAAGAGTAGAAATGCAGGTCCAGTTTCAGGCTTACTTTTTTCGAGACACATTAAAAGCACCGCTCATGGAAACCCATATTGTAATGATTTACTGATGATTATATCCTTAACTTCTTGACAGGCCCGGCTAAGGCCGAGACAGCGAACGCCCGTTTATTCCCACTAGTTCAGTTGTGCAGTTCAATTTTGTAACTATAACAATTTTGTGCAGCTAAAAATCCACCTGAGTATTAAATAATTCATATAAATTGTTAAGCGCATATACAGTGCAATAAAAAAAAAATGCGAATAAGATGAATAATATAAGAATAATTAATTGGTGTTTTTTATTTGTGAATAATTTTTTTTTCTATTCAATCTTACAATCAGAGATCAGACACGCAATTCGAGTCACATTGCATTTTTATTCTTGTCGGACTTGAATAAACATATTGCCGTCATCGAAGAAAAAGTTTTCTCCGGATTTACAAATTCGAATTTTCAACAAGGACACAAATTTGATTTTTAACATATCCCCACAAAAAAAATCTAAAGGAGTGAGATCTGGTGATCTCGCATTTACCTTAAATCCTATGCGACTGTAAACGAGTTGAAGGCTGAGGTTCAGAATACGATTTGTAATACAATTCATCACAACACGTTATTAAAAGTTACTCAAAATGAATTCGTTAAAATATTAAATTTGCGTATCCAAGAACATGGAGCTCATTTCGAGCAACTATTTAGTTAGATTACCATTTTTTTCGTTTTATTAAAATACGTTAAGATTTCATGGTTTTTTTTTCATTTAATTAACCAATTTTGTGAGAGAGATTTTATTCTTATAATTAACCCTATCGATCGATGCAATAAAAGTGCAGGGTGCATTTTTTTGAGATTAAAGCGGGTTCGATTCCCGCGTGTTGCTAGAAATTTTCGAAAAATCTAGGTCAAATGCTCACTTATTTTAACTATAAAAAAAACCGGAATAATTTTATGTACTTTTAAAGGAATTCTGATGAACTGTTAAGTTGGGGTCTAGGGGAAACTGGTGGACTGAATGATTTTGTTCTATATTTTTTTTAAAAAACCTACCACATCTTAAGCAGAGGCCGTAGGTTCGAATCTCGCCTCGCACCTCTGAGTTTCTCGGAATTTATGTGCGAAATTTAATTTTAACTTTACCATGAGCGTTTCAATAAACGAAAACAAAATGCTGACACCTGCACGTCAAAGAAGGTTCACGACCCTCGGAAAATGTGTGAAGTCCCCAACCCGCACTGAACCAGTGTGACGAACTATGGCTCCAAACCTCGCCTGAGAGAAGGCCCGTGTCCAGCAGTGGGACATATAAATGGGTTGATAAGAAGAGGTTTGAAACCGATCTCTGATTATAATGTTTTTTTTTGTAAAATCATACCGACGCATAGTACCGAGGCTTATTCCTGACTAAACTGTAATAAAATATTAACATCTTCACGATTAAACTGTTAAACTGAACAAGTAAGAAAAAAACGTAACCATTAAACATTGAGCATTTATCGACCAGCACTAATTTAACACTCCCGTCAAGATACCATCACCCAAAAAACCAGTGGCGGCTAAGCAAAACAAAATTTCATTTACATATTAAGCGTCTCCGCGTGGTTTCAGAACGATAATGGCGCCATCTTGTTTTATAACCTTAAAAATATGGATGGAAATGCGAAATGGTTTGTTTAAATATTTGAAAAGCTTCAATGTTATATGTAATAGCATCATAAATTATTAGTATTATATAAAATTTCATAATTATTTACGTGTGTTACCGGCGCCATTTTGCACTCGTTCAAAAATCTCTCAACTTTCAAACATTGTACCACTCCAAAACTCTACTTACGTACAGCGAAAAAAAATAAAACGTACTTTGTTTTTTTTTACTTGGATTTAAGTTTCGGGTAACTAAATTGTATATACACAATAATAATATGTCGCACAAACATTTTTGCCCATATCATTTTTACTTTCAAACAATGTCTTAATTAAATATAAAAGCCATTCAACGCAAAATCTTTACAAGCTCGCTAAAATAATAATGTTTTGAATCACGGAAGTTTGTCCAAAATTTACATATAATATACTTACAAGCGAGAAAACAAAGTATTCATAATTCACAAATCCACCTCCGTTCAGGAATCGACAAGTTTTTTTTATATAAATTTACACTAAGAAAACTTAATTAAACAATTATTTAACACTGGAAGAGTTAGGAATGGCCTCTTGAAGTTCGGATACCGATTTTTGGTCTATCTCGTTAACGTCATCTCGTATCCGATCTTTTCACTAAGTCTGAACATTGTTTTTATAATTGTAAAAAAACCGACGAAATAGAAAATACATCGGAATCTATCGGACATCTCTATTTCAATTTTTTTTAATTATCAATAACGGTAATCTTTGTATGTGAAATTATTTAGGTTAAACGTTGATAGTAGTGTACGTTTATGACCATAATTGATCTGACTTAGTGAGATCCATTCCGATATCGCTGCGACATTATCAAGTTGAGAGCGAAGCGTCTTGTGTTAGACTTATACATTAAGAAAAAATGCTAAATCTTAAATAACATCTCGTATAAACTTAGGCAATTACTTAACAAGTAAAACTTATACAGAATGTTGTGTCGGAAAGACAATGTTTTTTTTTTTGGTAGACAGTTATTGGTAAACCTAAGGTATAACGCAGCAGCAATAAAATTGAAAATTTCTTTTTGAACCGTCATCCATTAAATATTATACATTTTTTTATTAACAAGTGTCTTTCCTATAATATAGGAAGCACGTAATTTATAATGTAACCACTGAATGGTATACATTTTTTATTAACAAGTGTCTTTCCTATAATATAAGAAGCACAAGATTTCAAATTTAAACAACGTAACCTGATAATCGCTTTTCTCTTCGTTAGTTATATATTTGAATTCGGGAGACGGGAGATTAGCTTATCGACAGTGGCAGATCATCGTGTATAAATGCATATTTTATTTACCTCGATGTTTTGGACGTATTGCAACGTCTATGGTCTCGAAGGGATTGAACTTCACATATACGTCCGTAACGTGAGGTAAATAAAATGTTTTTGTACACGATTAAGTCCCGAATGTAAAATCAAATAATGTGTGAAAATCGTGAATGTTTAAATCAGTGAATTGGCAGTTCAAACTGAAATTTTAATTTTTTAACTTAAGAGCACCTTTGAAGTCTAAATTGCTGTCAACTGCTATTGTGAAAGGCAAATTCGGCAAGCGAAATATGTGAGACGGCAGCAAGATGATGTTCCTTTAGTTAATATTTATTTCAAAGATGTCTTAAGTTTGAAACACTTGGAAGAAGAAAAATTCATAAATAAACGACTTATTTATATACTAAGGAAGCGTCATGAATTTTAGAAAGAAGTACGAGAACAGGTTGCATCAAATGATAATGGTGAATGGATTTTAGCCTGTACTGTACGCGCTAAAATCCAGTAAGTAGTATGAGAGTTTTTATTCTTGTGTGCAAAATGGGAGTTTTGAGAAATTTTATCAAAACTTTGCGACAAAATCAGAACACAGTCATTATGTACACGTACAGCACACACTAAATATCACATCAATGCCACGTGTTTTTTAAATATACAACAGTAGCTTGAAATGTACACATCTCATTTGAAATTCAAGGAAAGAAAATTAAATTTTCCGACAGTTACGTATGTCTTTACGCTAGCATCGACTGACTTCATTCGATTCTGATATTTCTTGTCCCTAATTTTAATGAATTTTTCTATGTGGACCGAAATTTTGTGAATACTTGGAGTCAGTGCTTATCCATAAATATAAATTTTAGAAATACTCCTAGAAATCAGGGAAGATATTAAAAAATTAATGCACTAAGAATACATCAAACTCGCATAATCATTGAAAATATTTGTGATAGAAATTAATTTTATGGATAAGCACAGACAGCACAGACTCTCGCAAAAAAATCGAGCAAAGTCAGCAAAACATCTCTTAGCAAAAAATTTCGGCACATTCTCCCAAAAACCCGAGGAACTTGAGCAGTGACTCGAAAATATAGTATATTTTCATTTTGAAACGTCTCGTAAAATAATATCACGATTAAAAAATAACGCAAATATTCCTAATCAATTGTGGGGAAGCAAGCTTTAGGATTAAACAACTAAATAAAAGTCCAGACATGTGGTTACCGTATTAGTTCGTATGCTATTGCATATTTACTGTATTAGTTTCTTATGCTATTGCATATTTACTGTATTAGTT